AAAAAGAAAAACCAAACACCTCAGAAGAATCAGAATCAGAAAGTGAAGGTGATTCAACAGATACTCAAATAAAGTCAGCAATGAAAACGCTTTTTGCTGCATTTGGACGAAAACTAAAAATTACCAAAAAGTCAACCAGAAAACGAACGAGCAAGCCAACGTCTCAAAATCTACCCGCTCCCATCCTGACGACGAGAACACCGACGCCTGAACCAAGAGAGCCCTGCAAATACCGTCCCACACCGCAGACCGATGAAAGCACCAACGCACTCAAGAGAAGAAAAAGAACAAACGCCATCGTCAGAACCCCTAAGATCGAGCCGGAGACCGATTCATCTGAGGAGGAGCTGAACGAGCGAGCCGCAATGACGAGAACCTCTCACGACGACTCCAGGATCGAAATGAGCAATGCGCATGCGCGAGACTACGCAGATGGCCCGGGAAGACATGAGTTGCCGAAAGGACCCTGCAGACTCGTCGCGAGCATTCCCACGCCGTTTTGTAATTTTCACCATCTACGAGACCACGGACTACCTCCGGTTGTAAGCAATGGACCTAATAATGTCGGAAACTTGCCCAGTGACTTCCCAAAGCTGAGAATAGATGGCATTAATTTACAAGAATGGTATCAGCAGCTCCAGGTGGTCTTTATGAAAGAAAACTTACTGTTTTTCATCACTAATCCCCCAAAAAGACCTTGGACTTTAAAGTTAGACTGCTTACACCATAGAGCATTTTTCTTATTAATTTCTAGTGTGTCTCCTACCATGTATCACAGTATTAAGCAAAATCTGACTGTCTCAGAAATTATTCAATGCATGTTCAATTTGTTTCACAGTGATAGTGTAGCTACCACCACAAGAATGTCTAAAGATTTCTTTTCTTCTAGGATAAAACCAGGGGTTTCCATAAGTGAACATTTAATATCTTTAAACAAAATAAGAGCTGAGCTACATTTAAGGGGGGAGGTGATTTCAGACCAAACAATGAAAAGTGTTATCATAAACTCACTTGACCCATCATGGGACAATTATATGTCACATTTAGACACAATCAATTTTGGATATTTATCCATAGAAAGTCTATCCAATAAGTTAATAGCTGAAGACAATTCAAGGAAGAGCCGCTCTAACAATCACATTGAACATAAACCATATAGAAAAGTGGTTTTCCAAGAAAGATATAATGAAACATTCAGATGCCACAATTGTGGATCCAGGGAACACAATAGAAGAGATTGTCCCAAAATTACAAAAGAAAGACATAGGTCAGAACACAGGAACAAATACATCCATAGACAGTCTTCCATTGATAGACATAGATATAGAAGCCCACCAAATTACAAAGAATATAGAGGGGGTAGAGATAATTCAAAGGACAGAAAATCTGGTTCACTAAATGGACTAAACAAGCAAGACAACACTAACATACAGCAAACTGAGGATAATAATTGGCTTATTGATTCTGGAGCAACCAATCATACTACTAATAATAAAAACATACTATCTTCATTTATAGAAGATAAATTTGTAATAAAGGTAGCCAACCAAGAAAAGGTCCAAGTATTAGGAAGAGGAAATGTAACCTTGCCTGGTATAGGAAAAATAGAGGGGGTATTACTGATACCTGAGATACCTCATAACATATTAAGTGCCATAAAACTAAGCAGAGATTCTGATATTAATATTGTGTTTTCAAAAGGAAAAGCAAATTTGGAGAAAAATAAAACAGATATAGGTACAGTAATGATTAAAGGAGGCCTACCTTATTTAATAACTAAAGAGAAATGGTTACACAACATTGATTCAAATATGGAAGATTGTATTGAACTAGATAATGAAAACATTAGCAACAGTGACAATGATGAATGTAAAATAGCTCATGATAACAAGGATGCACATAATGAGAAAAAACCAAAAATAGGTAAGCCAATTCATGATGAGTGTGCTCATATCTTACATAGGAAGTTAGGACATGCCAGTTTTCCTGTAGTACAGAAAATGACTGAACACGCAGAAGGTGTCAAAATAAAAAATTGTGAAAACTATTTGGAATGCTCAGTATGTAAATCTACAAAACTAAAAACTAGTCCCAGGCCTAGAAAATCTACAAGGTCAACTAACAAGATTTTTGATTTAGTACACATGGTTGGTCCACTGACTCCATCAATCATTTATAAAAAACGTTACTTCTTAACTATTGTGGATGACTATAGTCGCTATGGATTTGTTTACACATTAAAACACAAAGATGAAACCTTTCAAAAATTTAAAGAGTTTTACAAACGCGTAGAAACACAACACAATATCAAAATAAAACAAATAATGACAGATAGGGGATGTGAATTCATGTCTAAGGAATTCTCCCAATGGTTGAAGGACAGAGGAATGTTACATTACACATCTAGCCCATTTTCCGCGTTCCAGAATGGAATTGTAGAGAGGAAGAACTCAACATTACAAACCATGATTAGATGCACATTGGAAGATGCTGGCTTAAGCAAACAATTCTGGTCAGAAGCCCTACAATATTCCAATTACACACAAAATAGAACTTGGTCCAGCATTGTGAATAAGACACCATATGAAGTGATGTATAATAGAAAACCAAAACTAGCACACATGCACATTTTTGGAGTCACCGCAGACGTACACATACCTAAACAATTAAGAAGAAAGGGAGAAAATGTGTCTAGAAGACTTAGATTTATGGGATATGAGACAGGTACAAAAGGATACAGATTCATTGATAATAATAACAAATTTATAGTTTCCAGAACAGCTGTGTTTCATGAACAGGCCAACTGGTCTAGAATACATCTTAATGAAATATTCCCAAACAACAACACAGATACTAAATCCCAAGAGAAAAGAACTGTAGAAAAGCAAAAGGACAACAAATATAAAAACAAAACCAAAACATGGACAAACAGTCAACACAAAATAAAGACAGATACATTAACAAAAAAGGAAGCAAGATATTTGCATGACAACAATAGTAAACCCGAGAAGCCAATTAGAAACACTAGAAACCAAATGCCAAATAAATATAAAGATTATATAATGCATATGGATGGAGAAACTATGACACCTAGCACATATGAGGAAGTGTTAAAACTTCCTCCTAAAGAAAAAGAAAAGTGGGAATTAGCAATGACAAAAGAGATGGAAAGCTTACAAGGATTAAATGTATTTACACCTGCGATTGCACCAAAGGACAAAACAATTATTGGTACTAGGTGGATATATAAAATTAAAAATTTAGAGGGAGGCAATACTCTATATAAGGCTAGATTAGTTGCACAAGGTTATGCACAGAAATATCCAGAGGACTATACTGACACTTACTCCCCCACAGTAAGAACTGAAAGTGTAAAAACGGCTCTAGTTGTAGCATCAGCACTCAATCTCGATGTATTCCAGTATGACATACAGACTGCGTATTTACATGCAAAATTAGATAAGGAAATATATGTAAGGGCACCTCACAGTCAATATACAAATAAGAATGAGATTTGGTTATTAAACAAAAGTCTATATGGGCTAAAACAATCTGGTAAACGATGGTATGATTGTCTAGTAAAAGTACTAAGAACTATGGAATTCAATGCTACCACTGCTGATAATTGTTTCTTTGTTAAAAAGGGTAATGATTACATAGAATTTGTATTGATCTATGTGGACGACATTTTATATATAGGTAATCACAAAGAAAGAAGAGAAACATTTGTAACAAAGTTAAATGAACATTTCTCATTGAAATCCTTAGGTAAAGTAAATAAGTATCTTGGTGTTCAAATTAGTAAGACTAAAAGGGGATTCAAGCTTTCTCAGAAAGATAAGATCACAGAACTTTTGAACAAATGTAACCTAAATGATGCTAAACCCTGTGACACTCCAATGCAAACTGATTTCCTAAGAAATGCTGATGAATCATCCCCTGAATTCAAAGATAACACGTTCTACAGATCAATCATAGGTTCACTTCTTTACATTTCTAATTGGACAAGACCTGACATCGCTTTACCCCTAAATTTATTGTCCAGACATGTCAGCAAACCAACTATGTATCATTGGGAAGCTGTTAAAAGAATATTAAGATATTTAAAAAACACATTAGACTTTTGCTTAATGTTAGAACCTAATAATGTCAAGGAACCGAAACTCACATGTTACGCAGATGCAGATTGGGCTGGAGACACTTCATGCAGAAAAAGTACATCTGGTTACTTATTTCTCCTAAACGATTGTCCAGTTTACTGGTACACTGGCAAACAAGATTTAGTGGCCACTTCAACAACAGAAGCGGAATATGTTTGTTTATCTAAAGCAGCAAATAACCTTGTATGGTTTAATGATCTGATTTCTGATGTTTGGAAAAAACCTGCACTACCTTTTGTCATGCACGAAGACAATAAAGCAGCCATTGAAATATCTAGATCCGACGCCATTGGACAGAGATCTAGACATATAGACATAAAATTTAAACATGTGAGACAATTATCTCAAGATGGATTTATTAAGGCAGTGCATTGTGAGACATCGGAACAGTTAGCTGACATATTGACAAAGCCTTTGCCATCTAAGCAACATAAATATTTGACTTCCAAATTATATGTATTATATTGTTCTGAATCTGAATGTAATAAATGTAGCATATCGAATCGGCATTTAGAGGGGGATTTGTCACAAGTAAATGCCTTATTCTCTAATGTGTAAATAGTATATGAACGGGATGTCAGGGGTTAATTTATTCTTCACTTCTTAATGTATTCATACTTCACCACTCCCATATCTAGCTCCACCCATTGTATATATAAGGAGCTACACACACTCCCTTCTTTGCTTCTATCTGTGAATATTCAGTGAATATAGAATGCCTTATGTAATTAAAAGAAAATATATTTGAACTCTTAACTCTCTCATAACTTATTGAGTCTGATCCAGAAAATATTGCAACAACCCCACTGAAAGGAAATAAAGCACTATACAGAGAAGGGCTTAATGCACTATACTCGTTTTATTGAAACAATTTTTGAATATTTTAAAAAGCAAAGTCTTTCCCTCTCTCCCACCCATTCATTCTTCCCAACCTGTGGGGGACAAGAATGGAATCAAGTTGTTCAATGTGTTTATATAAGGAATGATATCATTTTCATCACAGGAGGAGGGAGAGATATGCAGGAGCATCAATCTCAGAGCTTGCAGCCGCTGCTCCAGTTTGACATATTTGGTCCTCTGCAATTCTTCGTCCAGGGCCACCTTAAAAAAAAGGAATAAGAGTAAAAATAAGCAGAATGCATGTCTTTGTAGACCACAATGTATGGTTGTTTCTTTGAAGATTTCAGCCTAATAGGAGAAATTGAGGAATTTTCCAAGTTAGCTAGAAGTAACTATCATTCATTCATCTTATAATTTTCTTTGTTGTTTAAATGAATCTCCTTTTGCCCAGCTTTAAATAATTGTTAAAGCTAAAATTGTTCTTTCTGACTTTTTACTTCTGACAATAAAGTCAGAAATAGATGCCACTCATTCCCAATAGAAACTTTGGACTCCCACATAATCTTGATAGAGTCCCTGCAACGCAGAGGTGAAGAAAATTAAATTCCAAAGGATTGGGTCAGCAGCAGAGGATCATAAAATCCTAGCCAAAAACTGAGAATGCTTCAGAAGAGCACACAGCAGAGTAACTTTTAGATAACTCAAGTGTTGACCACACAATGTCTTTATTTTTGCTTTTAAATGCTGATTGCTGGCTCAAGAGTTTCCCATCTAATGATCTGCTTCTGCAGCCCCCTTTCCTAGCCCTCCTATGACTTGGAGGCTTCACGAATGATCCCTCCCTGCTTCTCTCACTACTATGCTGTTTACAGATCCAGTTCTCTGATCCTAGGGAGCTTGTGCATGGGATCACAATCCTGGTGTTTAAAAGGCCGTCTGCCACCTGTCCCTACTGGGTAGTAAACCCCAGATTTTAAAGCACGTAAGTGCCTAATGTATGTGAAATCCGTGGGAAGGAATAATACAGCTATAATCAGCATCAACAGCCCCTCCCCTTGTGTCTTAGTCTACCATTAAACCTGAGTTCAAAAGATAAAGCCATATTTTAAAGCAACCAGAATGAAAGTATAAAAATGCAGCTTGTCATATTTAGAAAGCATATTTTACCACCAATCCTAAAAGTTGTACAATAGTCTAAAGAAAGACTATTTACTTCTATGACTACAAATTCAGTTGCTACCCAATGTTACATGTGGAAGATGTTAATGAGAAATTGACTCACCATTTATACAACGGTGCGTGATTAGCCATAATTATTTTAGCACAAGCAATATCATCTGTGATGTCATCATCTGTGAAAGCTGCCAAAAGAGGCAAATTGGAATTTGTTCAACTCCAGGTATGTCAATGTTAGAACACTAATTATGTACATTATGCAATACATTCATGCCCTTAGTGATATCATCTACTTTTTGTACAGCTGGTGTAGACCATTAACTGCCTTGTCGCATGTTCTAACCATGCAGGGTAACAACTCTGAAAAATGTTCTGGACCAGTAATCAGTTTCCCTCTAGAACTGAATATGCTGGATATGCAGACTTCCCAACAGTCTCATTGCACTCTTGGAAAGGAGAGAGAGAAGAATCTGTCACCTGTGTCCAAGAACTAGATTTGTCCCACAAAGGGCAGAAAAAACAGGATCTGGTCCCTTAACTGGGTGGGGTTCAGCATCAGAAATTGCTGCCTTTAACTTATGCCTCTGGCAAGGTATTAATTACAGTGAATATAGGATCAGGTGGCTTTCCAAGGAAGCAACCCTTTGCATTGCATATGGAGACCCAGTTTAGACTAGTAGTGGTTAGGAGTCCCTGCTACAAAACGGGAGATTGTGAATTCTAGTCTCAGCTTGGAAATAAAAGCTGGTTGTGTAACTTTGGGCCCGTCACATCCTCTCACTTCAGAGATTTAAGTTGTTTTAATTAAAAAAAAAAAAACTAAAAAAATAAATCTAAGAGGTCTGTAAGGGGCGTGCATAGGAGCACCAGCATGCCTACCGTCCCTGTCCTAACGTTCCCTTTATTTATATTCATTTTATGTATTCAGTCCATGCTTATACTTATATATATTATGCAATACGTACTTGACAGATAAATAAATAAATAAAAATAAAAATAAATAAATAAAAATAAAAATAAATAAATAAAAATAAAAATAAATAAATAAAAATAGGAGGAGGAGGAATAGGTATGTACGAACCTTGAGTTGTTTATAAAAATAATAAAAGTGGGGGAATTAAAAAAATGTTTAGAAAGCACTGAAGAGAGTGTGAGATTACTAATGTGAGTGAGACAGGGGGACCACACCACATATGAGCTTTGAACTGTTGGCAGTCAGCAGAAATAGCCTTCAGTACTGCACGCTAATCCCAGATAAGTTTGGGTAGCAGGACACTAAATAGAAGAAGGCTAATAGGCCAGAAAACACATATTTTCATTGTTGACTTGAGCAGGAACTCAAAACAATTTTGAGAAACAGTGTGGGTTAATCCTCATGGAGAGCAATCCCCTATAGAGAGCAATAAAAGAGAAGAAGAAGCACAAAAATCTCCCTACAAAATTTTGATTTGGCATATTTGGAACATTTCAATTTTTTTGCTTTTCTAATGAAGTAGGTGTGAGCCTTGGTGGTAAATCAGGTCTAGAAATAAACACCACAAGGAGTGAGCTACTGCTTTGTATTGTAGAGCATAATAATAAGATGATTTGTTAAAGATTTGACAGATGTGACTTACCACTGCAAGGTTTACCACATAAACTATTCATACCCTCCTGGTTATCTCTGCACAACCAATCGCTACTAATCTGGAAAATTCCATAGTATCTACTGCGATAATTCTTTTGCTTATTCACAGCTTGGGTGTTGTACTTGCTTGCATAATAACTTATACATATCCCTGGAAGAAAGCAAATGGGAAATGGGCTATAAAGGATCGGTCTTATAAATGAAACATCTATCCTGATTTTTAAAAATAGAACATTTATATCACAATGCTTAGTCATCTTCTCATTTTCCCCCCAACAAGGAAGGTCTGAAGAACCCCAGAACATTTTGGAAATCTTCAGGGAAATTTGGAATAAATCTGATTCTTGTCTCCAAGATATTCCTGGAGTTTTTAATGGTGCATAAAGCCATCTCTCCTTCCTTCTCTCTTCTTAATTCTAGCCTTCCAGGGAGGAGGTACTTTTTCATTGTGCATCCTCTGGCAATCTGCACATGTAGAAATGTAGAAATGTGATGGCCTCTTCAATCACATACTGAATTTAAATGATTTGGTGGAATTTGAAAGATCTAACCTGTGAGAGGATGCTCATCCTGGGAGGGATAATCCACTATTCTTAAGAGGGTAAACAAAATATTGGCTAAGCTATCATTATAAAAAGACAATGCAGAGACCAAGGTGGTGCAACCGTATCCCAGTTCTGCAATTGTCTCAATCAGGCAACAAACCGGAGATCCATCAGTCTCATAAAAATAAGGGTGTTAGTGCAGGTGAAGTCTGAGATCTCCCCAGTCATTTGAGTTGAGGAGCAAGCGTATCTCCTCATTGTAAGAACATTGAAAACAGCGTTTAATTCATTGGGTGGGCTGGTTGAACTCATTCTTGAAAAGATCTGCCCCATTTTGCATCCTCTTGCAAAGCTGGATCTTGCTGAGATGGAGAGAAAGAGAGAGTCAACTTACACATGTCCAAGGTGATATATGTATCCAGGCTATGTTGTTTCAGAATTGAAGCCACTTCACATCTGGAAAATATTTTGGGTTCACTAGGTGCCATGAGGAGGAAGAGGAGGGTGAGCACTAATGCCTTCATTGTTGTGGCTCCTTGGAGGACAATGTCTGACTTCTCCAGGAAGCCGCCTGGGTTTTATAGTCAGAGCTTGAGAAACTGGCACCTCTGGAGAGCTGGCAAAGAAGGCAATTATTCCCCTATCTGAAGATAATTTGGAGGTAGAAGCAGGGAGTGCTGAGGCACAAATCTGGATCAAGGGAATCTGTATGAGAGGTGCCCAAAGTGAACATGTGATGGTTTCAACTGTGTGATTGAAGCCCCAACTTTTTTTATGTGTTTCACGTATGATGTATGTGAAAAAGGAACTGGCCTTTTACTGAATAGTGACTGCAGCCTTCTTCATTTTTTGGAGCCCTGTCCTGAAGACATTCCTCTCTCTCTGGGGGACCCAACATTTGGCTTAGGTTTCTATTTGTTTGTTTCAATACAACTCTGGTTTCACTCTATTTTTTATTTGTTTGTTTGTGATGAAGTTTGTGGAGTAATGCAACTTATTGAAACAACCCAGTGAACTGTATTTTATTTCTTGGTTTTATTGCGGTTTTATCCTTCTTACATGAGTCATCAAGTCTTCATCCAGTTTCCGTGACCATGTAGATGGATTTTATCTTTCTGATCTGAAATTGCTGAATTCTGCAACTGGATTCTATAAATTATCCACAGTATATATCAGTGCGGTGAACTCTACGTAAGTTGCCTTAGAATACTGTTCAGAATCTATATGTAGTGGGCAGCAGAAGCAGGGCTGGGCATAAATCAGTTAGTTGCCACTTGGTTCCTTTGGGAATTCAGGTGCTATTTTTAATCTACAGGAGCCCTACATGGTCACAGGATGCCTGCCGTTTCACCTGATCTCAAATTGTGTTTGTCTATCTAGTAAGATCTTACAGGATTGGCATATTTCAGCTCTGGTCTCATTCTCTAAGATTGTAGAAGAGCTTGTACACCTTGTTGCTGGGCTCAGTTCTATGACAGCTTTTCTGAATTAGAACTGTTGGTATGAATTTTGTGTACTTTGGGCCTCTCCATGATATCATTTATATTTGTTTAAACTTTTGTAAGTTGTTTTCAGAGAAATACAATGGATAAGCAAATAAACAAATCTATTTCAACGAATGAGACTTCAGTTTAGTTTCCGTGTACAGCAGTTAAAATTCCTTCTTCCTCCTCTTTTTATCAGAGTTTTTTTCTAGATATTCTTTACATTTTGGAAATAAGAGCAGGCTATACTTAGGCACTTATTTACACTTCCATTACATGCCATCTTTCACTCTGTTCATCAATCATCTCTCCAGCAGTCTGCAAACCTGGGGACTTTGGTCAGGATTCTCCCCCCCCCAGCCTTGAGAAGATTATTGAGTTGTTCTCCTTCCCTTGAATTTTCCTTCCATTTTATTACCCTGTCATTGGAACATAAGAGAGACAGTTTGTTGTAGTGGTTAAGGCACCAGGATAGAAACCAGGAGACTGTCAGTCCCAATCGGGGGTCATCTTGGGCCAGTCTTTCTCTCTCAGCCATCTTTCTGACATGCAGTTGATATGGGGGAATTGCTTTTAAGTCTCTGGATCTAATGTCCTAAAACTTCTACCTTGAATTAGCAGGAATTTAATTGTTGGTGGTATCTGCAATCTCTCTAGGCAAGTACGCTTCCTTCATAGATTTATTTTGTAGTTTGTTCCTCATTCATTGTCTCTATGTGAACAAATCACCCACCCAAACCAAAGTACATTACAATGTACTTTCTAATGGTTGCTCATTGGTGCGTTCAACCTAATATCTTCTATCACTCATGCATTCTTGATCTTATCCCACCATGAAATTCTGGCTGCACTGAGATTAATTTCATGTCTCCAACCCTCTTGTCCTCATATTAAAGTTAACCGAAACAGTTTTCCATACAAAACTTTCTGCTTATTTCAAGAAATATATGATCCTCTCAGCAGAATACCTGCCACACATTAACTTCCTATCGGCTAAACTATCTATATCTTTTTTTCTCGTCCTTAGTAAATATTCTTCCAAGGTACATCCATCCATCTACCTGTTCTAATCTTTCTCCATAAATGTATAACTTGCATAATTTATGGATGTCTCCTAGCTCTGAAGTTACAGGTGACCTTTCTGATTTCAAAATCCCTGACAAGAGCCCCCAGCGCTCCTGAATTTCTGAGTCACGGCCTTGGAGGTCTTGGGGAACAAAATGGGCCACCAGATGGATGTGGGAAAACGTGACTGGAAAGCTATCTAGTTCCTGTTGAAATTAAAAAAATGAATGCTCCTTATCTTGGATCCTTCAAATACTGAATAGCTTGGCCCTCAGTTCTCATAAGAATCCAGTGCTGCAAATCCCATTGAGTGAGATCTCAAAAAAGAGTCTGGATTCTTCCTGGATGAAATTATTACAGACTGGGAGATTTTGCAGGCTGAACCTTCCTTAATGTTCCCCAAGTTAGCCAGGAGCTGACATTAGTTTTCTCTGCATCTGCTGCTTGGGGTTTTGTGCCTATGTTTACTTGAACAGAGTTTCCAGCAGTCTTCTCAACTTTCTGCATGTGCAGGTATCATAGCTGGACCATGATTTGTTGTACATACTGGAACTGAGGATGCACAGAATATACTAGATTCAACAGACTAGCATATCTGGACTATGAGAAGAGATACGAAAAGGACTTTGGAACAGCAAAAATCACAATAGTTTGATCTGTGTCATTAACCTGCTGATGTTGCTGTCTTATTTGGATGCTCTGGTATTCGGCAGGTAAACTAATGGGACTTACATGGCCACTTAATTCTAAATTCAGATCACATTTTTTCTTATACCCTGTTTCCCCAAAATAAGACATCCCCTGATAATAAGCCTAATTGGGCTTTTGAGCGATGGCAATAAGGCCAAGCGCTTATTTCAGGGTTCAAAAAATATATAAGATATGGTCTTATTTTTGGGGAAACACGGTAGCAAAGACCAAAAGTCATGCTTTAACATAACTGGAGATTGACCATAGAGTTTGTCTGGCCTTGGATGCCAGTCTAGAGTTTTCATAGATGAGTTTCAAGATAGTTTACTAATATTGTATGAAGAGATTCATCAAAACTTATAACATATTGCTGGAACTGGGTATGTCCAGTCTGATGAAAAGAAGGACTAGGTGTGACAGGATAGCAGTGTTCCACTATCCCAGAGGCTGCCACAAAGAAGAGGGAGTCAAGCTATTCTCCAAAGCATCTGAAGGCAGGACAAGAAGCAGTGGGTGGAAACTAATCAAAGAGAGAAGCAACTTAAAAGTATGGAGAAATTTCCTGACAGTTAGAACAATAAATCAGTGGAACAACTTGCCTCCAGAAGTTGTAAATGCTCCAACACTGGAAGGTTTTAAGAAGAGATTGGATAACCATTTATCTGAAGTGATGTAGGGTATCCTGCCTAGGCAGGGGGTTGGACTAGAAGACCTCCAAGGTCCCTTCCAACTCTTCTCTTCTCTTCTCTTCTCTTCTCTTCTCTTCTCTTCTCTTCTCTTCTCTTCTCTTCTCTTCTCTTCTCTTCTCTTCTCTTCTCTTCTCTTCTCTTCTCTTCTCTTCTCGTCCGGTCTGGTCTATGCCAAGCTTTAAGTGAATGACATACAGTCAGGTCCAGAAATATTGGGACATCGACACAATTCTAACATCTTTGGCTCTATACACCACCACAATGGAGTTGGAATGAAACAAACACAATGTGCAGTAACTGCAGACTGTCAGCTTTAATTTGAGGGTATGTACATCCAACTCAGGTGAACGGTGTAGGACTTACAGCAGTTTGTATATGTGCCTCCCACTTGTTAAGGGACCAAAAGTAATGGGACAATTGGCTTCTCAGCTGTTCCATGGCCAGGTGTGTGATATTCCCTCATTACCCCAATTACAATGTGCAGATAAAAGGCCCAGAGTTCATTTCAAGTGTGCTATTTGCATTTGGAATCTGTTGCTGTCAACTCTCAAGATGAGATCCAAAGAGCTGTCACTATCAGTGAAGCAAGCCATCATTAGGCTGAAGAAACAAAACAAACCCATCAGAGAGATAGCAAGAACATTAGGCATGGCCAAAACAACTGTTTGGAACATTCTCGAAAAGAAGGAATGCACCGGTGAGCTCAGCAACACCAAAAGACCTGGGAGACCACGGAAAACAAGTGTGGTGGATGACCGAAGAAGTCTTTCCCTGGTGAAGAAAACACCCTTCACAACAGTTGGCCAGATCGAGAACACTCTCCAGGAGGTAGGTGTATGTGTGTCAAAGTCAACAATCAAGAGAAGACTTCACCAGAGTGAATACAGAGGGTTCACCACAAGATGTAAACCATTGGTGAGCCTCAAAAACAGGAAGGCCAGATTAGAGTTTGCCAAACAACATCTAACAAAGCCTTCACAGTTCTGGAACAAGATCCTATGGACAGATGAGACCAAGATCAACATGTACCAGAGTGATGGGAAGAGAAGAGTATGGAGAAGGAAAGGAATTGCTCATGATCCTAAGCATACCACCTCATCAGTGAAGCATGGTGGTGGTAGTGTCATGGCGTGGGCATGTATAGCTGCCAATGGAACTGGTTCTCTTGTATTTATTGATGATGTGACTGCTGACAAAAGCAGCAGGATAAATTCTGAAGTGTTTCGGGCAATATTATCTGCTCACATTCAGCCAAATGCTGCAGAACTCATTGGACAGCGCTTCACAGTGCAGATGGACAATGACCCAAAGCATACTGCAAAAGTAACCAAAGAGTTTTTGAATGGACAGAAGTGGAATGTTATGCAATGGCCAAGTCAATCACCTGACCTGAATCCCATTGAGCATGCATTTCACTTGCTGAAGACAAAACTGAAGGGAAAATGCCCCAAGAACAAGCAGGAATTGAACACAGTTGCAGTAGAGGCCTGGCAGAGCATCACCAGGGATGAAACCCAGCGTCTGGTGATGTCTATGTGTTCCAGACTTCAGGCTGTGATTGACTGCAAAGGATTTGCAACAAGTATTAAGAAGGGAAAGTTTGATTTATGATTATTATTCTGTCCCATTACTTTTGGTCCCTTAACAAGTGGGAGGCACATATGCAAACTGCTGTAAGTCCTACACCGTTCACCGGAGTTGGATGTACATACCCTCAAATTAAAGCTGACAGTCTGCAGTTACTGCACATTGTGTTTGTTTCATTCCAACTCCATTGTGGTGGTGTATAGAGCCAAAGATGTTAGAATTGTGTCGATGTCCCAATATTTCTGGACCTGACTGTATTTGGTTGCAAAGATCTGCTTGCCGTAAGAATGATTGGTAGCCAGTTTAGTTATGAGGGAATAATGAAAAATGAAAGGAAATAAAGCATTGTATAGAGAGGGGCTTAATGCACAATACTTGTTTTATTGAAGCAATTTTTGAAGATTTTAAAAAGCCAAGTCTTTCCCTCTCTTCCACCCAGACATTTTTAAAAAATCATCAGTGGTATGAAGAAACACATTATCATAATCATAAGTTTATTTGTCAAGCATATATAAAATAACAGGTAAAAGTATAAATATAATTTGAATACATGAAAAGAGTAAGTAAAAAGGAATATTAGGACAGGGACAGTAGGCACGCTGGTGCACTTATGCACGCCCCTTACAGACCTCTTAGGAATGGGGTGAGGTCAACAGTAGACAGTTTAAGGTTAAAGTTTTGGGGGTTTGAGGAAGAAACAACACAGTCAGGCAGTACATTCCAGGTATTGACCATTCTGTTACTGAAGTCATATTTTCTGCAATCAAGTTTGGAGCAGTTTACGTTGAGTTTGTATCTATTATTTGCTCGTGTATTGTTGTGGTTGAAGCCGAAGTAGTCATTGACAGGAAGGACATTGTGGCAGATAATTTTATGTACTATGCTTAGGTCAGACTGAAGTTGGCGTAGTTCTAAGTTGTCTAAGCCCAAAATTTGGAGTCTGGTGGCATAAGGTATTTTATTGTGGTTAGAGGAATGGAGGACTCTTCTCGTAAAATATCTCTGGACTCTCTCGATTGTATTTATGTCCGATATGCAGTGCGGGCTCCAGACAGATGAGCTGTATTCAAGAATTGGTTTAGCAAAAGTTTTGTATACTCTAGTTAGTAGTACAACATTACCAGAGAAGAAGCTGCACAAGAATAGGCTAACAACTCTTAATGCCTTTTTGGCAATGTTGTTGCAGTGGGCTCAGGCACTTAGAGCTTTAGAAATGAGTATTTCAAGGTCCTTGACAGAGTGAGGGTCATCTACAAAGTCATGTCCAGCTAATTTGTATTTTATGTTTTGATATTTTTTGCCAATGTGCAAGACAGAGCATTTGTTGGTTGAGATTTGAAGTTGCCACTTGTTAGACCAATCTGACATATAGTCTTTCCAACCTGTGGAGGACAAGCATAGAATGAAATAGTCCAATGTGTTTATATAAGGAATAATATCATTTTCATCACAGAAGGAAGAAGAGAAATGCAGGAGCATTAATCTCAGAGTTTTCAGCCTCTGCTCCATTTTGACATATTTGGTCCTCTGCAATTGTCTCTCCAGGCCCACCTTAAAAAAAGGAATAAGAATAAAAATAAGCATAATGCATGTCTTTGTAGATCACAATGTATGATTGTTTCTTTGAAGATTTCAGTCTAAAATTGAGGAATTTTCCAAGTTAGCTATTTCTAACTTTCCTCAAGGCAGCTCCAATGGATCTCTTCAGTTTCTCTCTTCACCAAGCCTTATTTCCTTGTGGGGAATTTAGATAATTGATTTGCCCCTTTTATCTTCCTTTCTATTCGACCATTAATGAATGTTTAACATATTAACTGTTGGGTGTGAATGTGCACATTTTCTTTTATTTTAATCACTTTCATACTATAAACTGCTTTGAGATGATTCCACTGAAAGTAGATTAAAAGTGAATTAAATGAATAAAAATAATCACCTCATGTTGTGAAGGAACACTGGTGGGAAATGGGTTAGCAGCAAGATCTCTGAGACTTAGTCATGGAAGATAAGCATATTTGGGCTACTCAGATTTAGGACCATCATGGCTTGAAAACTGCTCCCATCACCCCTCTTCCCATCTCCTGCAAATAGCATGATGAAATCAAGGGTGAGCATTTGAGGTTAGCAGTCAACTTCAGCCTGCTTCTTCTCCATATTTGACAAGCCACATGTGACATATTTGATGTCGAATTCCAACTGCATGTTAAAGAGGTCTAAAATATTCTGCTTTCTCAAGTTTTTCAGTCTCTCTCAGCAAATGAGACCACAGAATGAAAGAATGAGACATAACAATAGATGGCGACACTTGGTAAAACAAAACACTTTCCTTGTGACTTTTCTCAATATTTTGTCAATGTATGTATCTATTAATAATTTCTTTTGATAGTGCTTACTGTAAGTGTAATGAATTTCTTTTTTTTTTTTAAGTTTGAACTTCTTGTTAGTAAGTTGTCAGGGACTCTTCTTTTTGCCTGGAGGTCCCTCGGCAACACACAGGGTTTCTCAACTTTGGCAAACTTTAAGGTGTGTGCACTTTAACTTCCAGAACTCCTAAGGAGTTGAATCCATACATCTTAAAGTTGAAGTCCAGACATCGTTAAAGTTGCTAAACATTAAACTGCAAACAGGCAGTTGAAATCCACACATCTTAAAGTTGCTAAGGTTGGGAAACACTATTCCAGCAGGTTCCTCACAAGTAGAACAGTACAGTAGAGATGGGAAACATGGTACCTATGTGTAGATAGATCTACATATCTTTCAATAATATTGACAACTGCGATATTATGCAACTGCCATGAATGATATCAAATGCAAAGGTCTGGCGGTATAATAAATCAATACATCATTTCAATCCTGTAGTAATAGCTCTGTTTAATAGTCAGTGATCCCTGCAAATGGTGTGACTTGTGATATTTGCATAATGCAGCTGGTGGCAGGCTGAGAGAAATTATGTTTTCTATTCTGTGATGGTAGTGATGATAGTAATTGAGGGGAATTAAATTCCTGGTATCAATCCAAAAAACTACAGGAGTAAATGCGATATAATAGTAAGTTAAACTGTCTCCTAAATCTTTAGTGTTACTTATTTACTGTATGTTATATTATACTCTGGTTTCCCTTGTTGAAAGAAACACCCTTCTGGGTTCAGTTCCAAGTGGGGAAAAAGACACTGGAAACATGGAGACTGCTTGGAAAGATGGTTTAATGGTGGACAGGAATCACATGGCTTGAGTTCCTGAGCAGAATCATATGGCTTGAGTTCCTGAGTAGAAAACAAAGAAGCCCTAGATGTTGGGAGTGCCTTGGTTTTATGCCCTCTGTTGGGCCTCACCTCTGAGTTTCTTGTTCCTCTATAAGAAATGTATCCTGATTGGTTGTGAAACTCCCAGGTGGTCTGGGGTCTTAGCTAACTTTGTAAATTGTCTCTCAAGCTTGCTTGAGTCTTGTCATGTGGTGAGCTTCTGTTGCTAGTTGGGTCCTATTGTGTTGCAAATGATGGCCCATTGACAAAAGAGGGGGGAAATGAGTGAGCTTGGTCCTTTGACAAAACATGTGAGTTTTTGAAACATGTTCTTGGCAAAAGATTAAAATTGATCAGATCAGGGAGGCTTGATGGGTGCTTTTAATTTTTTTCTGGTGCAAATGGAAGGCATTGATAGAGGCAGCAGAAGGATTCCTTCAGTGGCTCCCAAAAAGCTTTCAACAATGAAGGTCTAGCAGCCAGGAGAAAAGTTCTGGAAAGAATTTTACAGTATCCAGTTTTCCATGCCAATTAATTTCAGATGTCAGATATCACTTTCTGTGAGCTTCTAGTCAGGTTTCAAGCAAGCACATGTTCCAAAACTCTTCACAGCCATGGTTTTCCTTTAAATTAAATGGCTGCCCATTTCCGAGGGATGGTTACTTGAACCTGCCCTAGCTCTTACTTTAGTGCATCCAGGATTTGTGAGTCCAAATTGAGGTTAGCCAATAGTCTCTGTGTGTGTGAGTGTGTGTGTGTGTTTGTGTGTGTATATATTGATATTTGTGGAGTAATGCAACATATTGAAACAACACAATGAACTATATTTTATTTCTTAGTTTTATTACCGTTTTACTCTTCTTACACGAGTCATGAAGTCTTCATCCAGTCTCAGTGACCATGTAGATGGATTTTATCCATCTGATCTGAAGTTGCTGAATTCTACAACTGGATTCTTTAAATTATTCACAATATGGGCCAGTCTAAGACCCGCCCTGTCTCCAGTCTGTCTCAGTTCCCAATTGGCTGACCTTGTTACCATGTCTTTCCAGTCATGAATAGTCTGACAAAACTGGAGATTGATCCCCGATTAGAAATTCTGTGTATATCACGGGTGGGTTCTACTTACCTTTACTACCGGTATGCAGCAGGGCCGCACGTGCGCACCCGCTTCACTCATTTACTCACCCTTCTTTGCATGCACAGAAGCGTTTTGATGACGTTGGCGTCGGTGGGCGGAGCCTCCTGCTGGTTTTACTACCAGTTCTATAGAACCGGTGCGTACCGAGGACAACCCACCACTGGTGTATATCCCTATATAACAAAGTGAAGTGTCCACATGGGCCTTTCTGCTTAACTGCAACAGGAAGCCAGAATGATTGGAGCCCGTACACTTACATTGGAATAATGAAGGATGAAAGGATTTATTTATTTATTTAGCATATGACAAATACATGGACTTATAGTGGTTGAAACGTTAATGTCCTGTCTGCCCAGCCATTCAAGGACAGGGTGGTATATGTTGAAAAAATCAGACATTGGGCAGGTATAAGCTCTTGATGGAGATTTGGACACAAATGTGATGGAGATTTTGTTGAGGAGCACCACAGTCAGACTGAGGGGTAGAGACAAAACTCCACTGAAAGGAAATAAAGCACTATACAGAGAAGGGCTTAATGCACAATACTCATTTTATTGAAACAATTTTTGAATATTTTAAAAAGCAAAGACTTTCCCTCTCTCCCACCCAGGGCCGGATTTTCCTATAGGCTAACTAGGCTTCAGCCTAGGGCCTCAAGATCAAGAGGGGCCTACATTCAAATTGTTAGCAAAATTAAAATTACACTTTCACTATAGGTGAAAGGGCCTTATAAGTGGAATAGCCTAGGGCCTCTTTTCATCTAAATCCGGCCCTGCTCCCACCCATTCATTCTTCCCAACGTGTGGGGGACAAGAATGGAATCAAGTTGTTCAATGTGTTTATATAAGGAATAATATCATTTTCATCACAGGAGGAGGGAGAGATATGCAGGAGCATCAATCTCAGAGCTTGCAGCCGCTGCTCCAGTTTGACATATTTGGTCCTCCGCAATTCTCCACCCAGGGCCACCTTAAAAAAAAGGAATAAGAGTAAAAATAAGCAGAATGCATGTCTTTGTAGACCACAATGTATGATTGCTTATTTGGAGATTTCAGTCTAATAGGAGAGATTGAGGAATTTTCCAAGTTAGCTAGTAGCAACTATCATTCATTCATCTTATAATTTTCTTTGTTGTTTCAATGAATCTCCTTTCACCCAGCTTTAAATAATTGTTAAAGCTAAAATTGTTCTTTCTGACTTTTTACTTCTGACAATAAAGTCAGAAATAGATGCCACCCATTCCTAATAGAAACTTTGGACTCCCACATAATCTTGATAGAGTCCATGCAACGCAGAGCTGAAGAAAATTAAATTCCAAATGATTGGGTCAGCACCAGAGGATCATAAAATCCTAGCCAAAATCTGAGAATGCTTCAGAAGAGCACACAGCAGAGTAACTTTTAGATAACTCAAGTGTTGACCACACAATGTCTTTATTTTTGCTTTTAAATGCTGATTGCTGGCTCAAGAGTTTCCCATCTAATGTTCTGCTTCTGCAGCCCCCTTTCCTAGCCCTCCTATGACTTGGAGGTTTCACGAATGATCCCTCCCTGCTTCTCTCACTACTATGCTGTTTCCAGATCCAGTTCTCTGATCCTAGGGAGCTTGATGGGATCACAATCCTGGTGTTTAAAAGGCCGTCTGTCACCTGTCCCTACTGGGTAATAAACCCCAGATTTTAAAGCACGTAAGTGCCTAATGTATGTGAAATCCGTGGGAAGGAATAATACAGCTATAATCGGCATCAACAGCCCCTCCCCTTGTGTCTTAGTCTACCATTAAACCTGAGTTCAAAAGATAAAGCCATATTTTAAAGCAACCAGAATGAAAGTATAAAAATGCAGCTTGTCATATTTAGAAAGCATATTTTACCACCAATCCTAAAAGTTGTACAATAGTCTAAAGAAAGACTATTTACTTCTATGACTACAAATTCAGTTGCTACCCAATGTTACATGTGGAAGATGTTAATGAGAAATTGACTCACCATTTATACAACGGTGCGTGATTAGCCATAATTATTTTAGCACAAGCAATATCATCTGTGATGTCATCATCTGTGAAAGCTGACAAAAGAGGCAAATTGGAATTTGTTCAACTCCAGGTATGTCAATGTTAGAACACTAATTATGTACATTATGCAATACATTCATGTCGTTAGTGATATCATCTACTTTTTGTACAGCTGGTGTAGACCATTAACTGCCTTGTCGCATGTTCTAACCATGCAGAGTAACAACTCTGAAAAATGTTCTGGACCAGTAATCAGTTTCCCCTCTAGAGCTGAATATGCTGGATATGCTGACTTCCCAACAGTCTCATTGCACTCTTGGAAAGGAGAGAGAGAAGAATCTGTCACCTGTGTCCAAGAACTAGATTTGTCCCACAAAGGGCAGAAAAAACAGGATCAGGTCCCTTAACTGGGTGGGGTTCAGCATCAGAAATAGCTGCCTTTAACTTGTGCCTCTGGCAAGGTATTAATTACAGTGAATATAGGATCAGGTGGCTTTCCAAGGAAGCAACCCTTTGCATTGCATATGGAGACCCAGTTTAGACTAGTAGCGGTTAGGAGTCCCTGCTACAAAACGGGAGATTGTGAATTCTGGTCTCAGCTTGGAAATGAAAGCTGGTTGTGTAACTTTGGGCCCGTCACATCCTCTCACTTCAGAGATTTAAGTTGTTTTAATTAAAAAAAAAAAAACTAAAAAAATAAATCTAAGAGGTCTGTAAGGGGCGTGCATAGGAGCACCAGCGTGCCTACCGTCCCTGTCCTAACGTTCCCTTTATTTATATTCATTTTATGTATTCAGTCCATGCTTATACTTATATATATTATGCAATACGTACTTGACAGATAAATAAATAAATAAAAATAAAAATAAATAAAAATAAATAAATAAAAATAAAATAAATAAATAAAAATAAAAATAAATAAATAAAAATAAAAATAAAAATAAATAAATAAATAAAAATAGGAGGAGGAGGAATAGGTATGTACGAACCTTGAGTTGTTTATAAAAATAATAAAAGTGGGGGAATTAAAAAAATGTTTAGAAAGCACTGAAGAGAGTGTGAGATTGCTAATGTGAGTGAGACAGGGGGACCTCACCACATATGAGCTTTGAACTGTTGGCAGTCAGAAGAAGTAGCCTTCAGTACTGCACGCTAATCCCAGATAATTTTGGGTAGCAGGACACTAAATAGAAGAAGGCTAATAGGCCAGAAAACACATATTTTCATTGTTGATTTGAGCAGGAACTCAAAACAATTTTGAGAAACAGTGTGGGTTAATCCTCATGGAGAGCAATCCCCTATAGAGAGCAATAAAAAAGAAGAAGCACAAAAATCTCCCTACAAAATTTTGATTTGGCATATTTGGAACATTTCAATTTTTTTGCTTTTCTAATGAAGTAGGTGTGAGCCTTGGTGGTAAATCAGGTCTAGAAATAAACACCACAAGGAGTGAGCTACTGCTTTGTATTGTAGAGCATAATAATAAGATGATTTGTTAAAGATTTGACAGATGTGACTTACCACTGCAAGGTTTACCACATAAATTATCCAGACCCTCATGGTTATCTCTGCACCACCAATCGCTACGAATCTGGAAAATTCCATAGTATCTACTGCGATAATTCTTTTGCTTATTCACAGCTTGGGTGTTGTACTTGCTTGCATAATAACTTATACATATCCCTGGAAGAAAGCAAATGGGAAATGGGCTATAAAGGATCGGTCCTATAAATGAAACATCTATTCTGATTTTTTTAAATAGAATATTTATATCACAATGCTTAGTCATCTTCTCATTTTCCCCCCAACAAGGAAGGTCTGAAGAACCCCAGAACATTTTGGAAACCTGCAGGGAAATTTGTAATAAATCTGATTCTTGTCTCCAAGATATTCCTGGAGTTTTTAATGGCGCATAAAGCCATCTCTCCTTCCTTCTCTCTTCTTAATTCTAGCCTTCCAGGGAGGAGGTACTTTTTCATTGTGCATCCTCTGGCAATCTGCACATGTAGAAATGTAGAAATGTGATGGCCTCTTCAATCACATACTGAATTTAAATGATTTGGTGGAATTTGAAAGATCTAACCTGTGAGAGGATGCTCATCCTGGGAGGGATAATCCACTATTCTTAAGAGGGTAAACAAAATATTGGCTAAGCTATCATTATAAAAAGACAATGCAGAGACCAAGGTGGTGCAACCGTATCCCAGTTCTGCAATTGTCTCAATCAGGCAACAAACCGGAGATCCATCAGTCTCATAAAAATAAGGGTGTTAGTGCAGGTGAAGTCTGAGATCTCCCCAGTCATTTGAGTTGAGGAGCAAGCGTATCTCCTCATTGTAAGAACATTGAAAACAGCGTTTAATTCATTGGGTGGGCTGGTTGAACTCATTCTTGAAAAGATCTGCCCCATTTTGCATCCTCTTGCAAAGCTGGATCTTGCTGAGATGGAGAGAAAGAGAGAGTCAACTTACACATGTCCAAGGTGATATATGTATCCAGGCTATGTTGTTTCAGAATTGAAGCCAGTTCACATCTGGAAAATATTTTGGGTTCACTGGGTGCCATGAGGAGGAAGAGGAGGGTGAGCACTAATGCCTTCATTGTTGTGGCTCCTTGGAGGACAATGTCTGACTTCTCCAGGAAGCCGCCTGGGTTTTATAGTCAGAGCTTGAGAAACTGGCACCTCTGGAGAGCTGGCAAAGAAGGCAATTATTCCCCTATCTGAAGATAATTTGGAGGTAGAAGCAGGGAGTGCTGAGGCACAAATCTGGATCAAGGGAATCTGTATGAGAGGTGCCCAAAGTGAACATGTGATGGTTTCAACTGTGTGATTGAAGCCCCAACTTTTTTTATGTGTTTCACGTATGATGTATGTGAAAAAGGAACTGGCCTTTTACTGAATAGTGACTGCAGCCTTCTTCATTTTTTGGAGCCCTGTCCTGAAGACATTCCTCTCTCTCTGGGGGACCCAACATTTGGCTTAGGTTTCTATTTGTTTGTTTCAATACAACTCTGGTTTCACTCTATTTTTTATTTGTTTGTTTGTGATGAAGTTTGTGGAGTAATGCAACTTATTGAAACAACCCAGTGAACTGTATTTTATTTCTTGGTTTTATTGCGGTTTTATCCTTCTTACATGAGTCATCAAGTCTTCATCCAGTTTCCGTAACCATGTAGATGGATTTTATCTTTCTGATCTGAAATTGCTGAATTCTGCAACTGGATTCTATAAATTATCCACAGTATATATCAGTGGGGTGAACTCTACCTAAGTTGCCTTAGAATACTGTTCAGAATCTATATGTAGTGGGCAGCAGAAGCAGGGCTGGGCATAAATCAGTTAGTTGCCACTTGGTTCCTTTGGGAATTCAGGTGCTATTTTTAATCTACAGGAGCCCTACATGGTCACAGGATGCCTGCCGTTTCACCTGATCTCAAATTGTGTTTGTCTATCTAGTAAGATCTTACAGGATTGGCATATTTCAGCTCTGGTCTCATTCTCTAAGATTGTAGAAGAGCTTGTACACCTTGTTGCTGGGCTCAGTTCTATGACAGCTTTTCTGAATTAGAACTGTTGGTATGAATTTTGTGTACTTTGGGCCTCTCCATGATATCATTTATATTTGTTTAAACTTTTGTAAGTTGTTTTCAGAGAAATACAATGGATAAGCAAATAAACAAATCTATTTCAACGAATGAGACTTCAGTTTAGTTTCCGTGTACAGCAGTTAAAATTCCTTCTTCCTTTTTATCAGAGTTTTTTTCTAGATATTCTTTACATTTTGGAAATAAGAGCAGGCTATACTTAGGCACTTATTTACACTTCCATTACATGCCATCTTTCACTCTGTTCATCAATCATCTCTCCAGCAGTCTGCAAACCTGGGGACTTTGGTCAGGATTCTCCCCCCCCCCCCAGCCTTGAGAAGATTATTGAGTTGTTCTCCTTCCCTTGAATTTTCCTTCCATTTTATTACCCTGTCATTGGAACATAAGAGAGACAGTTTGGTGTAGTGGTTAAGGCACCAGGATAGAAACCAGGAGACTGTCAGTCCCAATCGGGGGTCATCTTGGGCCAGTCTTTCTCTCTCAGCCATCTTTCTGACATGCAGTTGATATGGGGTTGGGGAATTGCTTTTAAGTCTCTGGATCTAATGTCCTAAAATTTCTACTTTGAATTAGCAGGAATTGTAATTGTTGGTGGTATCTGCAAGCTCTCTAGGCAAGTACGCTTCCTTCATAGATTTATTTTGTAGTTTGTTCCTCATTCATTGTCTCTATGTGAACAAATCACCCACCCAAACCAAAATACATTACAATGTACTTTCTAATGGTCGCTCACTGGTGCATTCAACCTACATGCCTTCTATTACTCATGCATTCTTGATCTTATCCCACCATGAAATTCTGGCTGCACTGAGATTAGTTTCATGTCTCCAACCCTCTTGTCCTCATATTAAAGTTAACCGAAACAGTTTTCCATACAAAACTTTCTGCTTATTTCAAGAAATATATGATCCTCTCAGCAGTATACCTGCCACACATTAACTTCCTATCGGCTAAACTATCTATATCTTTTTTTCTCGTCCTTAGTAAATATTCTTCCAAGGTACATCCATCCATCTACCTGTTCTAATCTTTCTTCAAAAATATATAACTTGCATAATTTATGGATGTCTCCTACCTCTGAAGTTACAGGTGACCTTTCTGATTTCAAAATCCCTAACAAGAGCCCTCAGCACTCCTGAATTTCTGAGTCACGGCGTTGGAGGTCTTGGGGAACAAAATGGGCCACCAGGTGGCTGTGGGAAAATGTGACTGGAAAGCTATCTAGTTCCTGCTGAAATTAAAAAAATGAATGCTCCTTATGTTGGATCCTTCAAATACCGAATAGCTTGGCCCTCAGTTCTCATAAGAATCCAGTGCTGCAAATCCCATTGAGTGAGATCTCAAAAAAGAGTCTGGATTCTTCCTGGATGAAATTATTACAGACTGGGAGATTTTGCAGGCTGAACCTTCCTTAATGTTCCCCAAGTTAGCCAGGAGCTGACATTAGTTTTCTCTGCATCTGCTGCTTGGGGTTTTGTGCCTATGTTTACTTGAACAGAGTTTCCAGCAGTCTTCTCAACTTTCTACATGTGCAGGTATCATAGCTGGACCATGATTTGTTGTACATACTGGAACTGAGGATGCACAGAATATACTAGAGTCAACAGACTAGCATATCTGGACTATGAGAAGAGATACGAAAAGGACTTTGGAATAGCAAAAATCACAATAGTTTGATCTGTGTCATTAACCTGCTGATATTGCTGTCTTATTTGGATGCTCTGGTATTCGGCAGGTAAACTAATGGGACTTAAATGGCCACTTAATTCTAAATTCAGATCACATTTTTTCTTATACCCTGTTTCCCCAATAAGTCCAGGAGCTATTTTCAGGGTTCAAAAAAAATATAAGATTTGGTCTTATTTTGGGGGAAACACGATAGCAAAGACCAAAAGTCATGCTTTAACATAACTGGAGATTGACCATATCTGGCCTTGGATCCCAGCCTAGAGTTTTCATAGATGAGTTTCAAAATAGTTTACTAATATTGTATGAAGAGATTCATCAAGACTTATAACATAATGCTGGAACTAGGTATGTCCAGTCTGATGAAAAGAAGGACTAGGTGTGACAGGATAGCAGTGTTCCACTATCCCGGAGGCTGCCACAAAGAAGAGGGAGTCAAGCTATTCTCCAAAGCACCTTAAGGCAGGACAAGAAGCAATAGTTGGAAACTAATCAAAGAGAGAAGCAACTTAAAAGTATGGAGAAATTTCCTGACAGTTAGAACAATAAATCAGTGGAACAACTTGCCTCCAGAAGTTGTAAATGCTCCAACACTGGAAGGTTTTAAGAAGAGATTGGATAACCATTTGTCTGAAGTGATGTAGGGTATCCTGCCTAGGCAGGGGGTTGGACTAGAAAACCTCCAAGGTCCCTTCCAACTATTCTATTCTATTCTATTCTATTCTATTCTATTCTATTCTATTCTATTCTATTCTATTCTATTCTATTCTATTCTATTCTATTCTATTCCGGTCTGGTCTATGCCAAGCTTTAAATGAATGACATATTTGGTTGCAAAGATCTGCTCTGCCGTAAGAATGATTGGTAGCCAGTTTAGTTATGAGGGAATAATGAAAAATGAAAGGAAATAAAGCATTATATAGAAAGGGGCTTAATGCACAATACTCGTTTTATTGAAGCAATTTTTGAAGATTTTAAAAAGCCAAGTCTTTCCCTTTCTTCCACCCAGAAATTTTTAAAAAATCATCAGTGGTGTGAAGAAACACATTATCATAATCATAAGTTTATTTGTCAAGCATATATAAGATAACAGGTAAAAGTATAAATATAATTTGAATACATGAAAAGAGTAAGTAAAAAGGAATATTAGGACAGGGACAATAGGCACACTGGTGCACTTATGCACGCCCCTTACAGACCTCTTAGGAATGGGGTGAGGTCAACAGTAGACAGTTTAAGGTTAAAGTTTTGGGGGTTTGGGGAAGAAACGACAGTGTCAGGTAGTGCATTCCAGGTATTGACCACTCTGTTACTGAACTCATATTTTCTGCAATCAAGTTTGGAGCAGTTTACGTTGAGTTTGTATCTATTATTTGCTCGTGTATTGGTTTTTTTTTTTAAAAAGTTTTATCAGGTATTACAACAATTTTTTCCCATCCCTCCTCCCCCCCCTTCCCTCCTCCACCCCCCCCCTTAAATTTCTCTCTTAAATTTTGGGCTTGCGTAAACTTCACATTTCTAATCCATATTTTTCCCACATTTCCATCATTATTGGTTCTTCAATATTTTGTGTCCACTTTATCATACAGTCCTTAACTAACTCCATTTCTGAATCTATTTCTACCAATGCATTATACAACCTTTTTATATGCATTTGACTTTGATCTCTAATTTGTTTTACCAAGTTCTCCTCATTTTGCAAGATACCAATTTTCTGATCTTCTCTCCATCTAGCTTGCAGCTGTCCATACTGAAACCATGTTTGAATTATCCTTTCTTCTCTTATTTGATTCAAAGATTTTAGTTGTAGTATACCTCTTTCCTTGTCAAGAAGCTCTTTATAGGTAGTCACATCTTGTTTTTGCTCTACACTTATATTCTCTATCGCGTGTCTGGGTATTGCCCACATTGGTAACCTCACGTTTAATTTATACTGATACTTTTTCCAGACACGCAATAAAGCATTCCTTAATATGTGACTTTTAAAAGTCTTATCCACTTTCTTATCATATAATAAATAAGCATGCCAACCGTAAACCATATCATATCCCTCAATATTCAATATTCTTTCTTCTGTTGAGTTCATCCAGTCACTCATTGCTGATAGGGTAGCTGCCTCAAAATATAGTTTTAAATTGGACATTTTGAGACCTCCTCTTTCACGTATATCCTGCATTATTTTTTGCTTTATTCTCGATCTCTTCCCTGCCCAGACAAAATTATTAATACCCTTCTGCCATATCTTCAAATCTTCAAATTTTCATCTTTTTTAAGTATTGGTATTGCTTAACCGTATTGCTATCTCGCACCTCTAGGAC